TGAGTTGCTTTGGTTAATGAAAACCAGTTACTTAGAAGCAGTAAAAATGCAAAATTACTATCTGCTTAAAATAAATGCACAAAGGATGCTGATAGCTAAGGATTTGCCATGTCACACTGAGGAAACAGTATTTCAAAGATTTTTTTACTGATTTTTAGAGAGGAGGGGAGGAGAAACATATATGTGAGAGCAAATCATTGATTGGCTGCCTCCTGCACTCCCCCTACTTGGGATCCAGCCCCAACTATGGGCATATGCTGACCTGGAATCAAACCAATGACCTAGAATCAAAACAACGAACTTTCGGTGCACGTGACAATGCCCAACCAACTGAACCACACCGGCCAAGGCAGGAAGTAGTGTTTTAAATTAATACAAATTATTCTTCTATATTACTTAGCAAAATATAACTCCAGCTGTGCCTCCAAAATAATTAATGAATTAAAGATATTTACCCTTCAGTTTACTATTGTGCTTTAATTAGCTCTGAGAAAAGAATCAACTCACAATTAGAAACAACTAAAATATGAGTCCATAAACCTGAAACTAATACAAAATAATACTGAATGTAAATTGTAACTGAAAAAAAAATTTAAACCAATGAAAGAAAATTTTTTTTTTTTTAAACCAATGAAAGAAAATATTTAAAAAACCTAGTGGATTAATGATGACATTGGCTGGGATATCTACAGTGATAAAGGTGGCAAATATAAAAAATAACAGGCAAACCAACTGAAAAGTTCTCTTTCCAAGTTCATCACTGACACACAGGCTCTCTACCTGAAGGCTGACATCTCCTTGCCTTGGCTCTCAAATTTAGGGAATAAGGGCATCTGCTCTTGCCATGTCAACGAAGGATCACTGCCACGGCCTACCAACTGGGCATGGGAAAAATATGGTGAAAACATCTTATTTGCATCAAAAACTGTCCTATAATCTCAGAACTACATTTTTTTAAAACAGCCCAAATAATGAAACAAAACAGAGAGAAATATCTGATATACAGGTCAGGTACCTGGACTGAAGAAACTACATAACAGAGATACAGAGAGCCATAAAAAACCTTAAAGAAAGCTAGAGGTCACCCATTATTATTGCAGAAATTATCATCAATCTGAAATACTTTAATAGCAGCCCACCTCTTCTTAATCATGGATCTGTATGCTGTGGTCCTGTTCTTCATTGCCAGAACCAGAAACAACAAAACAAACCCACATGCAGCCCTGAACATACTGAATGACAACCAAGTGTGCTCTTTATTTCCTTCAACTGGTCCCTCTGTCAATTAACTTATCCATTTGACACACAATTAAGGCAAGATGCTATGCTAGGCAGTGAAGGCACTGGAGAACCAGAACACACATATTCAAGAAAACCTTCCTGAGCCCATCAGATCACCCTCAGGGCCCCTGAATTCCTACTTAAGGGCACCGGCCAAAGCTCTAGTTAGACGACCATCTGCCCGGTGCTACCTTCACCAAGCAGGACCATGTCTTCTTCTCACCACCCTGAACACGGAGCCCAATACAGGCCCAGCAGGCTGCAGGTCTCCTCAAATGGTCAACTGACCATAGGAGAAAAGATGAAGCACCTACAGAATCAAAGTCCAAAGGGCCCTCAAAGCCACATATATGGAATTCCTTTCCTTTTTCATAGAGAAGTGATGAACTAATTAAAAGAGCTAACTCAAATCTATCACCCAATAAGAAATCAATGGCAAAGAAACAAAAGGTACTTTAACTTTCTGTCCACCTTAAAAAAAAAAACAAACTCATTTGGCCCGCCGGGTGTGACTCAGTGGTTGAGCATCAACCTATGAACCAGGAGGTCACAGTTCGATTCCCAGTCAGGGCACATGCCTGGGTTTCGGGCTCAATCGCCAGTGTGGGACTTGCAGGAGGCAGCCAAGCAATTATTCTCTGTCATCATTGATGTTTCTATCTCTCCCTCTCCCCTCCTCTCTAAAATGAATAAAAATATATTTTTTAAAAACTTGTGTGTTCAACATGTACCTTGGGATGTGAGGTAAACTGTTTCCAAACTCAGCCCTGGTAACTCTGTGTCCAAGTCTAGTCATTGCTAGAATACTGCTACAGCATCATTGTGTCAAGGTCAAGTTATATTCAGCTAAGCTTCCAGCCAAAACTGAAGAGCATATTAAGATTTTTCTCTTACCTTTCTCACTTAAACGGAACTCTAGTCACAGATGAAAAATAAAGTTTATGCTCCTGGCACTTAGCTCACACTGTGTAGTTGTTGCAATGAAAAGCCAAGAGTTCTATAAGAACCAAGAGCAGCCCAGCCAGCCTGGCTCAGTGGTTGAGCATCGACCTATGAACCAGGGGGTCACAGTTCGATTCCCAGTCAGGGCACATACTTGAGTTGCAGGCTTGATCCCCAGTAGCAGGACATGCAGGAGGCAGCCAATCAATGATTCTCTCAATAATGATGTTTCTATCTCTATCCCTTTCCCTTCCTCTCTGAAATCAATAAAAATAAAATTAAAATAATTTGGTATTTTCAGAAAGAATAGGGAGTATACATTTTAATGAGTTAAGATGAAAGTCTCTCAAGAGAGGCACTGCACCCTAGCCGGTTTGGCTCAGTGGATAGAATGTCAGGCTGCGGACTGAAGAGTCCTGGGTTCGATTCCAGTCAAGGGCACATGCCCGGGTTGTGGGCTCAATCCCCAGTGTCGGGTGTGCAGGAGGCAGCTAATCAATGATTCTCTTTCATCACGGATGTTTCTCTCTCTCTCCCTCTCCCTTCCTCTCTAAAATCAATAAAAATATTTTTTATTTTTTAAAAAGAGAGGCATTGCTGCCTCCTCTGTTATAAACTGTGTACAATAAGAGAAACACACACGCAAAAAAACCCACTAGTAATCCTCCTGACAGTTATCAGAACACCAAATAAATTCAAAAGTTAATTGGTCCTAACTAAATTTAAATGAATATAATACAAATAAAAATACACTGCACAGAGAACACTATGACACTATCATGTTTATGTGAAAAAAATGCAGATTTTAACACCTCGTTAGACCAAAGGCAAATCAAAATTTTCAATGCAGAACCATGTATTAAATGTTCTTGGGTAGTTCTAGTTCACAAGGTCCATGGCTTGCAAAATGTAATTTATACTGATATGCAGCTTTACTCAATATATTAAACACAAAAATGAACATTTTTGACACATATTCACAATGGTAAACTTCTATTTTTGTCAACAGTGAGAAGACTAAAGTTGAGAAGATGGTCCAAAGAGCCACCCCCACCACTTGCAGTGCAATCAGTGGATCTCAGCTAAGGACTATATAGCTCAGGTGGGCGTCGGGGGCTATAATACTCATGGGACTCCCATCCACAACAACAAAGGCAGTCTTTTTTTTTTTAAAGACATACTTTATTTTCATTATTTTTTATCCTTACCCGAGGATATGTTTAGAGCAGTGGTCGCCAACCTTTCGGACCTTGGTCCGTGGACCACCAGTTGTCGACCACTGCTCCAAAGGTTTCCTTAAACCAGCGGTCACCAACCTTTCGGCCAATCTCCCCCCACATCAATCAGGGGTGGGGCTGGGGCTGCCAGACCCCACCCATGCACAAATTTGTGCACCAGGCCTCTAGTGTTTGGGATTTTTAAAAAAGCACAGAGCAGCCAGTAGCCAGCACACCTTTGTATCAATTAGGAAAAAAAAGGTAACTTCTCAAGATACTTTATTCCCATCTGTCAAAAATTATCCTAATATACTGCCTTTATTTGAACTAAACTCTTTGCTGCCATTTTCTACCATGAGAAATACACATTTCTAAAATGTATCTGTTCTCAGCTAAGGACTATATAGCTCAGGTGGGCGTCGGGGGCTATAATACTCATGGGACTCCCATCCACAAAAACAAAGTCAGTCTTTTTTTTTTTATAAAGACATATTATTTTCATTATTTTTTATCCTTACCCGAGGATATGTTTAGAGCAGTGGTCGCCAACCTTTCGGACCTTGGTCCGTGGACCACCAGTTGTCGACCACTGCTCCAAAGGTTTCCTTAAACCAGCGGTCACCAACCTTTCGGACCTCACAGACTACTGGTTGGTGATCGCTGGTTTAGAGAGAGAGACAGAGAGAAACATCATTACGAGAGAGTGACACTGACTGGTTACTTTCCGGAAGTGCCCCAACTAGGGATTGAACCTGCAACCCGGGAATGTGCCCTGACAGCAATTGAACCAGAAACCTTTTGGTGCACAGAACAACTGAGCCACTCTGGCCAGGCAACAGGTGCAGTCTTAATTTGTGATTTTGGGGGGTTGGGGCCAGCCGGCCAACCCGCCCCCACAGCCCTACCCTCACCCCACCCCCCGCTGTCCCCACCTCTAATTCATAAAGACTAAAGGGGAAACAAAAATCCACCACCATCAAATATGGGGGGAAGGCGGGGACTAAATGTAATATCAAGAAGGCAGAATAGTGGGGACCCCAGCCTGTCTATTAGGATGCACTTTCATTTCTAACACATTTCTAATACTTGAGTAAGAGAGTGCAGGCTTAGGAAGTGGCCCTCGAGCTGATAGCAGAAAAATAAATTGAGAATTGATCTAAAGAATGGTAACCAATAAAGCTGCAGAGACAAAGTGGGATGGGCCTAAAAATCAGACTAGTCATCATGAGTGTAGACCAGGGGTGGGCAAACTTTTTGACTCGAGGGCCACAATGGGTTCTTAAACTGGACCGGAGGGACGGAACAAAAGCATGGATGGAGTGTTTGTGTGAACTAATATAAATTCAAAGTAAACATCATTACATAAAAGGGTACGGTCTTTTTTTTTTTTAGTTTTATTCATTTCAAACGGGCCGATCCGGCCCGAGGGCCGTAGTTTGCCCACGGCTGGTGTAGACACTTGGTGGCAGGCACTGGGCTAACACTATACATGCTTTAGTTCTCCTCACTGCCCCTCTCTCTCAGTCCCAAACCACACTTCTACCTCAATACCTCACCTACCCTATTCACAGGAGAGGACAACCGCAGCATGGCATGCTTCAAGACAGAGGGCAGAATGGAGTTAACTGGATGACAGCTTCTGGTTTCTCAGGTCTTCTGCTGAAAATGGGGTATGGCCGAGGAGCCTTCAAATAGAAAGTAGTAGCCAGTTCGTGAAAAGTCTACATTCTGAAGACTCCACATCTAGGTTTATGATAGATTCTACAATGTTTGAGTCTTGAAACAAATACTATGAACATACCCCTTGGGCTACCTTTATTACTAGTACGTATACCTACAGAAATTCTTACACCAGCCAATGGACAGAAATGGTCATAGAAAGACTTTTGGGGAGAGCAGTTCAATAAACAGGAAAACTGCAGTCCAAGCACATGTAAGTCTTTGAAAATGAACATCTACACTGCTGAAGTAGCACTAAAGTAACAAATGACAGTAATCCAATGGCCTAAGGCCAGAAAATTCCATTGCAAACAGATTTATCTGTTTGGTGCCACAGTGATTTTTGTATGTGTGGCAATTAATAGAAATATAATAGTCTAACTACCAATTCAAAAGCAAACTCTTCCTATTTTTTCATACTTGGCATATTAGAAAGTAAGACATGTCCTCAGCAACCACCTTTAATGTGCCACTTGAAAAACCAGATCCATTAGCAAGTACTTACATGTCTGAAATCTGCAAAAACGCTAAAACAAACAAAAATAACCTTGATGTAACTACTTCAAGTAGAGAGAGACAACTTTTCTCAAGTACCTGAATACTCTCTTCTGAGCAAAGAAAGCACAAAGTAAATGTGTCACTAGGCTTGGCAGTAAATAACCATTAAGCTTTGTAATCATTTTCTCCTTTAAGTTTTCCCATGTGAACACGATTAAATCATGCCAGTTCCACATTTCAAAAAAAAAGCTCTGGAATGTATATCCTAACTTTTGCTCTAAGAGGAGTTCAGAACGAGGCAGATCCACTTATTATTCACTATAATTTCAGTACACTCTGGTCCCAACAATATGGGCTCCAGAGCATGAGGGCGAGGCCCTGGATGCCATTCATCTGCACTGCTGTTCTGTGGAAACCACTGAGGCAACAACCATTAACATACAAACTTTAAACAGCATAACTAGTCTTAGGATATGTTTCAATATTTTGCTGTCAGTATGCAAAGGAAAAAAGGTATCTCCAAGTATCCTGTATATAAATAATTTTATATACTTTAGTTGCTCCTATGTAAGACTCCAATAAAAATGTATTTCGAGAATTATTAATACAGTTGTCAGATATAAAGATATTCATCTATACGGTGTCCCCAAAAAATGTACACACACTTACTTCTATAGATTCTTTTAAATTTTGAAAATGAACTATATGTTAATAAGCACTGACTTTAGAATCATTCAAAGTGTATACATTTTGGGGGGGACACCCTGTAGTAACACTCTGCCATATGCTATAAAATTGGGTCCAAAATATTCCATAGTGTAAAATGTGGGGGCCCCACTATTTCAAGGCAATGAAAAGACTGAGGTGAGCCTGCTGCAGATGACCAGGACAGCAGTAGCTGCATGATATCTAATAGGGTATAGGAAGCATTATTGGGGGATGTCATTATAAATGACCTCAATGATCACAAAAATTTGTTCTGGTTTAAGGCAAAACTAATCTGTTCAAATTAATTATCCCGAATAATTTAATCAGTTCCCTCTCGACAAAAACTATTCATAAATTAGAGAAGTACTTATATTTCAATTGTGAAAGTTCATCACTTATATTTGTTAAAATACTGAAAGCTAAAAAAATATATATGTATGTATATGTATATGTGTATATATATACATACACACACACACACACACACACACACACATATATATGTATATTTAAAGCTACTGGGATCAGAAATGTTTCTAAGTTTTGCAATGTTTCATGTCAACTCAGGAAACAGAATTCGATCAACAGAATGAAAATAAGACAAAATATATATAAAGTTTTAAAACTGTAAGCTTAATCCAATTTTAAAATAGGACCCTTACTCCCTGCCGGTGTGGCTCAATGGTTGAGCATCGACCTATGAACCAGGAGGTTCAATTCCCAGTCAGGGCACATGCCAGGGCTCTGGGCTCCATCCCCAGTGGCGGGGCATGCAGGAAGCAGCCGATTAATGATTCTTTCACACCATTAATGTTTCTATCTCTCTCTCCCACTCCTTTCCTCTCTGAAATCAATAAAAATATTTTTTAAAGTTAAAATAAACAGCACCCTTACTGTTAATTTGTGGTTGTTATTCCCAATAGTAAACAAGCAATATGCATATCATAGTGCTTAGCTCAGGGTAAGCGTTCAATCAATGTTTGTTGAATTAATGAATGAATGAATGGCCTTTAAGGCTGAAGGACCTTTAGGACAGCAGGTAACTGAGTAAAATTTATTAAAATGCTCAACCTGACTCAAGCAGGATCCAATAATTAAATCTCGTCACCTATAACTTCATTACTTGTTTTCATTACTGTACTTTAAAAGAGAGAAATCATACTATTTCCTTTACTAAACTCTCCATGCTAGAATTTAATATCATTTAAACCATACGTACTTTAAAAGAATAACCCCAAAGTGCTGCTAGTATTTATGTTCAGCTAGTTTTTGCCACTCCAATTTTATGAAGATGTATATAGGCCATATTGTTGTATAAAACATAAATACAGTACTAGAACAATGAATGAAAACAAAATTACAATTAGGTTCACATATTATCACTGCTAATTAACATTTCAATCAATTTTGCATTGTGATTAGCGCCTATAATAATGGAAGTGAATTGTGCCTGAACATGCTTTTTTCATTTCAAAATCACCATGAATATTCTTTCTTTTAAAATATAGTTTTGTTTTGTTTTATTGATTTCAGAGACAGAAAGGGAGAGGGAGAGATAGTAACATAGATGACAGAGAAACATTAATCACCCTGACCAGGAATCAAAACACGGCAACTTTTGGGTGCTCAACGACATCCAACCAACTGAGTCACACCGGCCGACACCATGAATGTTCTATTACACATCAGTTCACAATAACCCTTGAACCTGCTGCCCTAACCAGTTTGGCTCAGTGGATAGAACGTTGGCCTGCGGACTGAAAGGTCCCAGGTTCGATTCTGGTCGAGGGCATGTACCTTGGTTGGGCACATCCCCAGTAGGAGGTGTGCAGGAGGCAGCTGAACGATGTTTCTCTCTCATCGATGTTTCTATCTGTCTATCCCTCTCCCTTCCTCTCTGTAAAAAATCAATAGAATATATTTAAAAAAAAAGATTCTGCTGCTGCTGAAGCGGCCTATTAAAAATAAATAAATAAATAACCCTTGAACCTGTCCATACTAACTATAATAAGCTATTTACATGCATATTTTAAGTTGAGAAAAAAAGCAAATACCAAATATCTTAAAATCTTTTAATTACACATTTGTAAAAATTGTCCCACTACTAAGTCCCTTTTTTGTACAAAGTACGATACTAAATACTAAAGAGTAGATGTACACGTGAACAAAAAGTTCAAAGGAGAAACTTCTAGTGCAAACTAACTACAGTACACACCAAAAATCTAACGAAATTGCAACTCTCTGTAGGTTTAATTTTTATTTTTTAAAATATATTTTATTAATTTTTTACAGAGAGGAAGCGAGAGGGATAGAGAGTTAGAAACATCGATGAGAGAGAAACATCGATCAGCTGCCTCCTGCACACCCCCTCCTGGGGACGTGCCCGCAACCAAGATACATGCCCTTGACCGGAATCAAACCTGGGACCCTTCAGTCCACAGGCCGACGCTCTCTCCATTAAGCCAAACCGGTTAGGGCTGTATATTAATTTTTTTAAGAGGTTTTCACGTTTTAAGTTCCACAACACGCATTAATTGCAACAGTTATTAAAATCGACTTCATTTCCAAAAAGGCAACAAAAACCAGTACTTTAAAAGGGTTAGGATTTACCGGCCACCAGTTTACCGAATAGCTACTTTGTTTCATTCCCTCATATTTAATACACAAGCACATTGAGGCGGCATAAAAGTGCAATGACTTCTAGGAATTCGATGTGAACAAATCAGCAGTCTACAGCAAACCTGACAAGTAATAACACATGTCGATTTTTTACACAGAGTATCTGTCATGGGGGAGGGGAGGAGTGTGACTCCAACTCAACTCTACACATACATACATCTCCCTAAAATCAAAAGGTGCATTTTACTTTCTTTCCTCTATATGGTTATTATAAACATGCCCTAACTTTAGGTACTGTTGTGACAGGGTGCATAGTGTCAGGCAGGCTGACATGGATTCGTGCAAAAGATGTCACTCGCGAGTAAAAGTACAGTCCTGGCGACTTATTTTCAGTTTTCTTTGCAACAGTAACCTAAGGATGCTCCTTTCATGACTTGAGTCTACAAACGAGTAACCCAGCAAGCCAAGCCCCCCGTGGGGTCAATCGAGCTGAGAAAGCAACCATTGGAGACGGGGAGAAACAGGGCACCCCCAAATCTGCTCAGGGAAGAAAGGCTACGGGAGTGCTTGGAGCCCTGCCCCCCAAAGGGCCTGCCGAAGCCCCCAGGCTGCCTCTCCGGGTGACAAGGGCCCCATTTCCACAGTCGGCGCGGTCCAGCCAGGGAGATTTAACCCCTTCGCGCCCCCCGCCCCACGCCCTCTTCCAGCGGGCCCGGGCCCCCCTTTCCCGCGGCTTCC